ACTATACTATACTATACTATACTATACTATACTATACTATACTATACAATACAAGAACCCTTATACTATAACCTGATAAATGGTCATTTAGCCTTTGGTTGAATACTTCCTCCATCCCCATCCCCTTATACACACTCTTCTCAAGGCAACCTATTCAACTTTTGAACCAAGTTAATTGTTAGGAAACTTTTTCTGACACCAAGCCTAAATTGCTTCAGCAGCTAGCTACTCTTAGGTCTGCCCTTGGAGTTCAACTAGAGTTCTAATCTCTTTCCCATGACAGCTTTTCCTTCTCTGTCTTAACACTTGGCTCCTTATATCCCTACCCTCGGACCTGTGAGTCCTGGACACTTTATCTCATACTCCTCTCAGTGATCTCAAGGTGATGAATCATTGAGCCATACGTGGTACCCTCTTCTCCTTCCTCAATCTCTCTCCTTTCCCCACCCTCCAGGATGGGATCCTTTCCACTGTTTTACTTATAATTTAAAATGCCTGTGACATAATGTCATCAATTCTTACAGTCTTCCAAATGTTTGGGTGGAATCATAGTACTTCATTGTCTCACCTGAGCATTCCTATTTCCTTTCTTTTAGCTGCGATTATTGCTGGACATTTTCCTTTCTTTTTTGGGTGCCCATTTGAGACATCTCTCCCTTAAGTGTCTTTAGAGAAGCCTTCTCTATTTAAATTGCTATGTTGTGAATTTTGGGCTCTTTATTTAAAAAAAAATAGCTGGAAATAACTATTGAGTAATATAATGTTTTTTGATTAATACTGCACTGAAATGTAAAATGAACTTTTTATGGTTATAGGTTACTTTGTTAGGCACATATCTGGTTATTTAACTTAACATAGAGTCAGTTTATTGTGGTACACACCTGTAATTCCTGCTGCTGGAGAGGCTAGTGGATTACTTGAGTTTCTGAGTTCTGAGTTACTGTAGGCTTTGCTGATTAGGTCTCCTGGTCAGCTTCCATGAGTGAGGGACCACCAGACTGAATAAGAATGATCTAACTAGCCCAGGTTAGAAACAGGAAGTCACAGCTACAGCTACCATTCAGTTCCTCAAACTGAACTTCCAGCCAGGGAAAGATAGGAAGACTCAGCTCCAGTAAACAAATAAGCAAAGTTTGGGTTTGAACACACGACTTCTAGTAATGTAACTTTTCCTCAGTTTTCATCAAATGATGAATTAATTTTAAAAATCTTTGCATTTTTTCACTTACTATTACTTTTACTTTAGGTGATTTGTAAGTCAGATGCTCCAACTGGGGATGTTTTACTTGATGAAGCTTTGAAACATGTTAAGGAAACTCAGCCTCCAGAAACAGTCCAGAACTGGATCGAACTACTTAGTGGTAAGCAATAAGTATTGAAGTTTGTTAACAAATTTTTTTAATTACCATAGTTATTTGGAAATAATCTTGCTTCATAACTATAAGCAGATTTAAATAGATTATGGTGACACATATAAACGAACTTGAAAGAAATTAGGCAGTGAGTTAATATGATAATGGTTGTCAAATTTTTTATCCTCAGGACCCTAAAGAGGTGTCTTGGGTGATTGGGGGAAGAATAGAGGTTGGAATAGACAGTGGGATTTGTTTTTGGGAAAAAATAGATATAAAATAATATAATACTAAAAGAATTAGTTCATTATGTAAAAACTAGAAAATCACATTGATTAGCTAAACTATCTCCTCTTTATAAATCATAACTTATGCATGAATTTTATTTTCTGACCTATCAATATTCAAAGTATTATATTTAAAACTGCTTATTTTAAAAGGTTTATAATTACTTTGAGAAGTCATGTCTTTATGAGAATAAACTGGATTGTTAGTGTGACATGTATATATCTCAAAATGTTTCAAATGGGAAAAAATACTCAAAGATTTTGTTGTTTCCTCGGTAATGTATGATGCTTATCTATTCCAACTTTATATCCTGAATAATTTAAACTGTCCAGTTGACTGCAAACTTTGTCACTTGGAATAGAATCAGTTTTAGTGGAAAGTGTCTCATATGATGGTGTAATCTTTCTACAGCTCAGAAGAGATAAAGAAAAATGTCACCTCTATAACATACTTTTTTTGTAAATTATATGTAGGAAGAACTTTGTAGATGGCTATAATTATAGGTATTTGGTTATAATAGAAAGGCTTACACCTCATGTATCTTTTATTATTTTGCATTAAGATTTATGCTGAGTACAGCCAGTAAAACTAGTACCTTAGTCCTCATCCTTACCTCAAGTATAGCATTTGATTGCCCCTAATGAGCTTTTGTTTTAGTACTGGTAATTGCAAGGAAGGTCATGCTATTTATTGCAAGGATTTCTTAAGAATTGGTTAAATAACTCCCTTAAATTAGAAAAGAAAAAACAAGATTCCAGTGTTATCAGACTTGGTACTTGGTAAAGTATTTGGTTTTATACTTTTTCTGAAACATTGAAAACTTAAGGAAACCATCTTTGAACCTATTTGCTAAAAGTTTGTTAACTTAGACCACTGATTTTATTTGTTACAGAAGAATAAATTTTTAATCTGTATTCAAAGATTACCTGCTTAACTGCAGTACGGACATTTTACAAAAACGGTTAGTGATAAAATAATGTTTCAGAGGAAGTAGTCATCTAACACATTACTATACTTCCTTAAGAAATCTTCCTAAGACAATTTATCTACTGAGAGAACCAGAGTTGGTTTTAAAAAATAGTAATGGATTCTGCTTGTTACACTAGGATTTATATAGAATGGTTTTTATTTTTTAAGTTAGATTTTTTCACTGAACAAAAGTCTGTTTTCTTTCCACTGGAAAAAAAAGAAAACAAAACTTTTGTAACATGCATAGTCAAAGAAAACAAATTCCTGCGTTGGCCATGTCCACCTTCATTTTGCACCTTGAGTCCACTACTTCTCTGTCAGGAGGTGGTAGCAGTGATCTGCAATGCAGTTTTTTAAAAAAAAATTCAATATAAGATTATGTTAATATTTTTGGCTACCATATCACATTGTTGAGTCCTTGATTTTGTAGTTCATTCACACTGAAATATTTTTCAAATTGCCATCTAACATTCATCTCCTGTCATCTCAAACCCTATGAAGTTGATTTTTTTTAAACCTAAGCATAAGATTTCCCCATAACTTTTATTTTAGATTTATTCCCATATCACCACCTACCTAGATCTTTGTGAATGCTGATTCTGTTAATCAGTCTGTTAGCTTTCTGACCCAGATTTGTTTTTACATGCAAATGTAATGAGTTTGCATGTATGCCTTTATCCAAATCATTGATAAAAATGGTAGACAGCAAAGGGCCAAGCATGGAGTCCAAGTTTACATAGAACTACTGTTAACTCCTCTTTGGAACTAACTATCCAGTTCTAAATCCACTTAATTGTACTATTATCAGTACTAGTATTAATTGTACTGGTATCAGCCTACGTCTCTCAATTTTTTGATTAATTTTCTGGGACCAAGAGATCTGTGTTTTGACTTTGTACTTACGTTGAACATGTTGTTAATATACAAGCAATGACTTGGGTAAAACGTATGAATAGCATGCTGGATGTCTTGGAGATTTACTGAAGATAGTTACTTAGAAGGGCTAATTAATACACTGAATGGAAGAGTTGAGATACAGAAGGATATTGAAAGGTTAGGTAGAGGTCCTCAAAATGAATGATGCCGGTGCTGGAACGAATGGGGGTGGAGTAGGGTAGTAGCTTCAGCTGCAGTTGGGAGGCATTGAATAAAAATATGGAGGCAGCGGCATAAGGAAAGAAAATAACAAAATGTTGAAAAACCGTTTGTACATGTTTCATCTGTTGTGTAGCAGAGTTAAGGTTGTAGTATGCAATCATGTGATTACATTGTTTTCCAAATAAACACACATAATGAAAGTTATAACTTATCAGTGGTCAAGTTTGCTAGCAGGTCTTAACAAGCAATTGGCAGGCGAGCATGTTGGGCATTGTGGGGGAGTTTGTCCAGCATACATAGGCCGGAATATGTGCATGTAATGACTTGTTTACAATATGATACTGTATCGTTACATGACACAATATTGCATCATCAAAATTTCAATGTAGGAAAAACCCCACAAATTTACAATAAATTATTAAATTTAAGATGCATCATTTTAAAAATATATTTTTTTGAAATGATGCAAATTAAAAAAAAAAAACATTAAAGGGTTAAAGAAAGTAGATTTCCAGAGAGGCTCTGAGTAATTTTTATTTTGAAAAGGGGTGGTAGGTCAAATAAGTTTGGGAACCTCTGGGTTAGAGCATTGAGTTGAATCTAAAAAAAGATGAAATTGAATAGAATTAAAAAATCAGCTTCACAGGTATAGGAAAGGGACACGTAGGTAGACGTTTATCTAAAAAATCTCTAGGGGTGTTAGTGATGTGTATGTTCAGTATGATGTGTAAGCCAAAACAGCTAATGAGATATTTGGCTGCTGTTTGTCCTTCATTCTCAAAGAAGACTATGACATCAGGGAGGTGATGCCATGAAGTGAAAGTGAATTGGATCCTTCCTTCCTCCCTCCCTCCCATACCCCTATTTGTGCATGCTGTCCCCAAAGTAAGTGTAAAAAATCACTGAAACTGGTTTTTTTTTGGGGGGGGGTGGCTAGGCAATGGGGTTAAGTGACTTGCCCAGGGTCACACAGCTAGTACATGTCAAGTGTCTGAGATCAAATTTGAACTCGGGTCCTCCTGACTCCAGGGCCAGTGCTCTATCCCCTGCATCATCTAGCTGCCTGAAACCTTTTTTTCTTAAGGACCAAGCCTTAAACCCAAATCACTATGGCTCTCATTGACTGGCCAACAAATAGTTTCCAGGCCAAGCTCTACTTAGTCATTGTTTCCGCCTCAGAGTTAATGTAAGTAGCAGTTGTTTCTGTTTTGGCCAGAAACCCTAAGGGTCTTCCTCCTAGATTGATTTTTTTTTTTTTTTTTTTTTTTGACTAGGTAAAAAGGCCTTTCTCTACCTCATTTCTTACCTAGCCTTAATCACTGAATGGGCCTTGCCTCAGGCAGTCTTATATTTGGCTACATTAAGGGGACTGTAGCTTTCAGGAATAAGGAGGTGATAGCCCTCCTGTAATATCCTCACATCAAGAAGTTCTTAATTGGAGCCTTTGAATTTGTTTTTCATTGTTTTGATGACTATTTCACTGTAACAGCTTTGTAATCCCTATCTATTTTATTTTACCAATTTAAAAACATTCTGAGAAAGAATTTATAGATTTTATTAGACTGCCAGTAGAACCACCACACAAAAAAGCTTAAAAACCCTTGTCCTAATCAAACTGCTTCTGAAGTATTATGTTTAGTTGTAAGAGTCACAGTTGAAGAGAGATAAGTTGGAAAGCATTCAGAAGAAGACAATCTTATTGATATGGAAGGAAATGTATAGGATGGCTACCCATTTCCTTCCCCCCCTTCTAGAGGGTGGTCAGTCTGTGTTTACACCACCTTACGCCTTTTTACTTCACTAGTTGATTTCCACCTTATGGGTCTGCAGAAATAGATAACTATTTTACGTTTCATACAACTAATTATTCTTAAGAGTTTGAGAATTGTCACACCATCCTGAAGGATGAGGGAAGAGATGAAAAGAAATTAAAGTAGCCTAGAATTATTCATGGTGTGATTCAACAGTACTATTTAGTAAACTAATAATTATTTATACTTAAAGGAGATTTTAGGTTATAGTCTCAATGTAAAGCTGTGTGTGTGTGTGTGTGTGTGTGTGTGTGTGTGTGTTTAGTCTTAATGATCAGTTTGATGAAGGGCCCTGAGTCCATGTCCTGAGGCTTCTCTTAAGGGAACTGAGGATGTTTAGCCTGTAGAATAGAAGACTAAGGAGTTGAAATGATGCTGTCTATAAGTATTGGGAGAACTATTCTGTGGAAAAGGGATGAGACTTGTTCTTTTTCACTCCAGAAAACAAAACCAAAGCAACAGATGGAAAGTTATAAAAAAGTCAGATTTAGGCTTGGTGTCAGGAAGAACTTTCTAACAGTTAAAGCTGTCCAAAAATGGACATCTTGTGAAAGTTAACCCCTTGTGAAGGTCATCATGCAGAGAGATACTGGATAAACTACTTATCAGGTATATTAGAATGGGGGTTTCTTTGTTGGACTAGATGACTGTTGAGGTTCCTTCAAACTCTAACTACTATGAACTTGTATGTATGTCTCTACCATTTTATAATTTGATTTAATGGTGAAAATAGAGTGCTAACTTTCACAGGGCAGCTTTTCATGAGTTTCTTGTTAGAAATTCTTAGATGGGAATAATGCAGTAAATCCCTTCTGTTACTAAAAATATAGCAGAACTAAATTC